TTTTTAATTGTAGAAGTGGACCGGATCTCCACTAATCTCAACAATTCTCCCACTTTGAGTCTGAGACACTGATTGCATCATCCATTAACTGCACGGTTCTTTTTCCTCATACATGATCCCCTACTTCTGCAACTCAAGACTCCGGTCTTCATACCAGAAGACCAACTGAAGTCGAGCACAACTTCAGCTTCTCAAGAGTAACACCCTCAGTCGACATATCAATATCAACATAGTCTTGTACCTCCAAGCTCTTTCACGGGTTACTCATGAATCTATTTTCAACTCTCACTGCATGACAATATCTTGTCTCATTTGAAGGCCTTTTGCAATAAGTCTAGTCTTATACTTCTTATTGCCATCAAACACAATCTTCACCCGGTACACCCACTTGTTATGCAATTCCTTCTTCCATAGTAGATCTATCAGCTCTCACTTGCTTGAACTTTCACCTTGCAAGATTTCTTCGTGGCTCTGTGGTTCTCCATCATCTATCCGTACAAGATTCGATTTTCCTGCATTTCGTGCTCTGCAACTTTTCAGAAAACTGACTTTCTTCTGCTTTCATATAATGCACCTCTGACTCATGTGTCCATGCCTGAGTAAACCTGCAGTCATATATAGTGTGTCAGTTTTATTTATACCGAGTCAATACTAATGCTCCTTTGGTAAACTTCCATGTGCTATCTAAGAACACTACCGAATGACTACCCTCATTGAGTTACCCAATAGAGATGAGGTTTTTCTTCAACTCAGAAACGTGTCTGACCTTTTGCAAAGTCCATTTGCTCTTGTTAAGGAGTGCAATATAGTGCAATATCAAGGAGTGCAATATCAACGTCTCTTATCCTCACCACGTTCAGAGATTTTCCATCAGCCAAATATACATTCCTAAAGTTAACTGCAACATAGTTTCACATTAACTCCAGGTGGGAAGATGTATGGAAGGAAACCCCTGAATCCAGTATCCAGTCATCAACAGATCTGTGAACTGCCAGCAATAGTGCATATTATATCTCTTCAGTTAGATCATTAGTACCATCATTCTCATACTTCTTAGAATTTCTGCAGTTTTTTTTTTATGTGCTCAACCATGCCACAATTTCAGCAGGTTGTTTGTTGACTAGACTTTAATTTTGATCTTCCTCTGTTTGAGTTCTTGTCTTGTGATCTCCCTTTAGAATCAACAATCAGTGTTGAACTCGAACCTGAGGTCTCGCCAAAAATCTTTCCTGCGCACCTCCTCAGCTAGAATCAAATCATGAATATCATCATATTTCAGTTTGGATTTACCTGCAATATTGCTCACTGTCAGCCTCATGGCATCCCAACTATTTGACAATGATGCCAACAATATCAGCACACGTATCTCATCATCAAAATCAATTTCAACAGATGACACATGATTTGTGATAGTATTGAAATCATTCAGGTGTAAAGCAACAAAAACACATTCCTACATCTTTAAGTTGAGTAACTTCTTCATCAAGGTGCACCTTGTTGTTTGCGGATAACTGTCATACATACTTGATAAAGCCGCCATGAGATCTGCAGTAGTCCTCTTCTTGATGATGCTGCGGGCAACGGATCTCGATAGGGTCAATCGAATAACCTCTCGGAACCTGTCGATCCAACAAATTCCATTCCGCCTCGTCTATTTTTTTTATTTTTTCTGGTTTCTTTCTTAATGACGAAAGATGAAGTTTCTTCCCACAGAGATAGTTCTCTATCTAAATCCTCCAGTAACCAAAATCTATGTCATTAAACTTCTCGATCCTCGTTGCCATCACTTAGTCTTCGCCCATCGTTTTCTTTCAGCCTTGAACCAAAACTCCGAAATCAAATGTTGTGAAAAATGACGACAATAAAGCGAAAAACTGGAACGAGAAAAATAAAAAAAAAAACAGCAGAAACACACAAATTTACATTGTTCGACAAATTGCCTACGTCTACGAAACTGCAGAGGATTTTATTACTTGAGGAATTACATCAGTCAATCACGTCGGATTACAAGAAAAAAGAAGCTCTCTCTTTTCTTCTCTCTCTTTCTTCACCTCTCCTTCCTCTTCTCTTCTTCTCTCTCTCTTCCTCTCTCTCAAACCCACGTGAAGGAAGACCAAATAACACAAGAAGTTTTCTTGTTCCACAAGCCAAGGAAAAGGAAACCAAAAGAAAAGCTTTTCTTTTCTTTTCCTTAATGCTTCAACCGAAGAGGAGTTTTTTGAAATGGTTCTATTCTCTGGCAGGCTATGGCCTTATAATAAGCATAAAAGCCAAATAAGGAAGCAACAGAGGGAAGGTTTGGCAGAACCGTGTGAAGGGCAGGAAAGCTTTGGCGGGACCGCATGAGCAGGGAGGCGGGAGAGCTGTTTGAGATTACACGGTTCAACAGAAAGAGGAAGTCACAAGATTAGCAAAGTAAGCAATATTAATTACTTTCCTATTGTAGAAGTGGACCAGATCTCCACTAATTACGTTGTTCGACAAATTGCCTACGTCTACGAAATTGCAGAGGATTTTATTACTTGAGGAATTACATCAGTCAATCACGTCGGATTACAAGAAAAAAGAAGCTCTCTCTTTTCTTCTCTCTCTTTCTTCACCTCTCCTTCCTCTTCTCTTCTTCTCTCTCTCTTCCTCTCTCTCAAACACACGTGAAGGAAGACCAAATAACACAAGAAGTTTTCTTGTTCCACAAGCCAAGGAAAAGGAAACCAAAAGAAAAGCTTTTCTTTTCTTTTCCTTAATGCTTCAACCGAAGAGGAGTTTTTTTGAAATGGTTCTATTCTCTGGCAGGCTATGGCCTTATAATAAGCATAAAAGCCAAATAAGGAAGCAACAGAGGGAAGGTTTGGCAGAACCGTGTGAAGGGCAGGAAAGCTTTGGCGGGACCGCATGAGCAGGGAGGCGGGAGAGCTGTTTGAGATTACACGGTTCAACAGAAAGAGGAAGTCACAAGATTAGCAAAGTAAGCAATATTAATTACTTCCCTATTGTAGAAGTGGACCAGATCTCCACTAATCTCGACAATAACTAATGGGTGTGCACTCTTTAGTTATAAATGAAAAACCAAACCAAAGCAAATATTTGTAAATTAGTAGTTTTGATATAGGTTTGAATGATTGAAACATTTAGTTTTCGGTTTTTGAATTGCATTATGATTAAAAAAATCTAGTAAGGCTGAAAACCACACACACACAGATATATTATATTATTTTCATAACTTAAGCTTTCGAGTTTCGTTGGGCATCACCCAAGCTTGGTCGCCACTTAGGTGTTCCATGCGCACGTGGGCACACACACACAGATATATTATATTATTTTCATAACTTAAGCTTTCGAGTTTTGTTGGGTATCACCCAGACTTGGTTGCCGCATAGGCGTTCCATGCGTGGATTTGAACTTGGACCCTAGGCTACTCACGAGCCATACACCCCATTTTAGATCGTAATATCACATCATTGGATAGCACTTTACCCCTCTAGAGGCTCCAACTCATAGTTTCGTGCCTTAGAGCATAAGCTTTCCCCCCTCCAGTTCAGTGTCATGCATCTAGTAAGGCGCTTAGGGCATAAGCACTATCCCTTCGCTATAGTAATACTAGCGAGGTGGCGAGGGCTTCTGTTGTTCACAGTTCGTCATTTGCTATTTTGAGCAAGTAGCCTTTATTCGTCTTTCTTTCATATTAGTCATTTCTCATCTATTTATTTATTTTTTCTTTATCACTAAAAGATTAGTTTCTTTGTTATAGCCATCAACCTCCAAATCATCACCAGTTAACAATTATCTTGTCTTCGCATTCCTAAGTTTTCTATTTTCTTGTTCAAGATCAATTTCATTAAGGTAGAGTTTGGTAACATATTATTAAAAGGATTTAGGCATGAATTTAACTTAAAATCCATCGAAACACCAAAAAAAGAAAGTTAAATTCGAAGCTCCGTTACGTCTAATTTTTTTTACATTTCGTCACTTTCTTCCCGCATCTTGTCTCCATTATGACGAAAATCCTGGTTTAATAAATCCGAATGTGAGTCGAATTTAAAGGATTTGTTTTGCCATCAACGAGCTACACCTTCATGGAAGGATTTATCAGATTTGATAGATCCTATTTAACATTAATCCAACTTGCAATTAAACATTGCCCAAAGTTCTTTTATTGGCTTTTATGCTAGGGCTAGTAGCCACGAAAATCATTATAAAATGATTTGTTGCTTCATCTTTTATCTATGTTTTGTAGTTTTGATATTCAGGCTTTGAAAACTTTCTTTTATGGGATTATTTTGTGCAATGACATGTATTAGCACTTTCCTTGTTTTGAAAATGAAAATTTTCATCCCACTCACTTGGGTCTTAGATTTATATATACATATGAATTGTTTGGTACATATGTAAATGTCCATATTTTGATTGTGAAGAATACTTTATGTTTAAAATTGATTTCAGTTTAGCCAAAACCAAACCGAAATCAATGAACCAAACTATTTGTTTGGTCGGTTCGGATTAATTTTTTATACGGCAAAAATCAAAACGATTTCACAAATCTATTATCCAAATCATCCAAATAAACCGATTGCACACCCCTCCAGCCCATAAGTGTTTTTTTTTTCAACTTCCACAAAGCAAAGTAAACCATTTTATGAAGGCGGGCATAAAGAAGAGCTTATTTCATTAAATACACAAACACAGAAGGACAGATACTTTATATAACTCTTCAACTAAAAATCAACTTCAATCATAAGAGAGTGAGCTCATAAGAGAAGAGGCAAAAAAAATGGATAACAAATGCCAATTTAACTTCAAGTTACAACAAAATTGCAGAGTTAAAAGAAGACATCCCTCTAAAACACTGCCAAAAAGTTCAAACAACAAATTCCCCTGCATATAGATAAGAGGAAAAATCAAGCCCAACCAGCTAAATTCATATAAGAAAAACCAACGTTTCGAATCATGGCTACCATTATGTACTTAATGAGAGCCAAGCGCAATGAAACCGAGAACCTTACCTGAAATCACAACAGCTAACTCATTACAGCCATAAAAGCTCAAGTGTAATGCAACCCCCAATCTCCTGCGAAGCATCCTTACGATTAAAAGAAGCCATATGTGAAGTATAGCCCTTTCCCCAAGCAGAGAAAGAGCTGGGCGGCCGCGGCAGCGAATATAGCGGGTTAAACCACACAAAAAACGAGAAATAAAAAACCCTACTCTATGTAGTAGATCTCCCTGCTCTTTAATTTATAGGGCGGCATGGCTTGTCGACGAATTTGAGCCTTTTATTTCATTTTATATGGCCATTGTCGCGACCACGAATGGTCCAGCGAGAGCTCTTTCAGTTTCGCGTGCATGAGGCAATAGATGTTGCCACGTAGCACGCAGTGGTTAGACTAGAATGGTATTCGCTGTTTTAAAATTCTTGTCGGATTCCTTTCCGTGCTTGGTTGGTAACTTGGCTTCCGCCCCAAGTTACTCGGTGCACCGTTGGATTCCGCTCCATCGATCAAAAATGACTTCGCTTATGCATTTGTTTGTGATCGACTCCAGGCAGTGGGGAAATGTTTCCTTTTTAAGGAAATTTACATGCCAAGTACTTATTTACATATATCTCATATATATATATATATATATATATATATATATATATATATATATATATACATACATACATACATACATAATATTTTAGTGTTTAAAATATATACAAGAAAAAAATAATTTTTTTCATACGAATAATAATGTTATTTTTAAGTGATATTAAATATTTGAGTGGTATACATATAATTATGAAAGTTTATGTGTAAAATATATAAATTAATAAGAAATTTGTGCTATGTATGTAAATGCACCATTTTTTTAATTAAGGAGTCTCTTAGCTTGTTGAAAAATGAAAAAAAAAAGTGTAATTGAAATGTAGTCTTTTTGAAATATTTTGGGGACTTTAATTTGGGGTAAAATCAAAACATAAGTTTATATTTTGTGTTTAATTTTAAAATAAATAAATAAATATAAAACACGATCAAAGGTGGCCAAGGTAAGTGGTCAACAAGTGGTGGTGATGACGGCCAATGAGGGCAATGATGAGCAGACGACTACAGTGGTGATGACAATTGTTGTCAAGGGGTTACAATAAGAGTGGGTGTAATCAGTCATTTGTTGCACTTTAAAGTTTATTTGAAAATCACTAAAATTAAGAAATACATAAGTTTTGAAATGCAACGTTAAATTTCAACTTCACCAAAATTTTACACATCATTCCTTTTTCATTCAATTAAATATTAAAATTTTGAAAGCCCTTATAGTTGATTTACCTTAAACTAAAAATTCATCAAACTCAACTGATGTGTTGGGAGGTCTGCACCGATAGAATAATAAATTATTGTTTTAGTGTTACATGAAAACTAAGCACACATTTAGGTAATTAAAAAGAAATAAGAATGAGGGGATACCTTAATTTTTATGCGGAAAATGCTGAAAGTGAAAAAAATAAGGAGGCCTAGCTTGGTTGAAAAAATATACTATGAATCGTGAATATAAATGTCCACTATTCTCTTGAATTAAGAAATATGAAGTTACAAAGTTGATCATTGTAAATGTATAACAACAGTTCATCAATGATAGTTATAGTCCGACTACAATGTATGTAGTTCTTGGTGATGACATGATGCAAGGATTGTAATGGATTGCTATGTAGGAAATAATTCACCGTAATTTTTTTATGGTGGTTGTAATGATAGTTTATCATGTAAGCCATTGTTGAAAGCCATGATAATAGTTGGACGCGAGGGGCGCAAATGATTGCTTCAGAAGTGTCAGTTGGCCACATATATCGTAGTAGAACGCTGCAAAAGCTATAAGCCATGTAAGTCGTAGTTGATCACATAGGTTGAAGTAATGAGCTGTGATAATGTTTGTAGGCCACAGAGACCAAAGTTAAGAGTTGCATAAGTAGAAAACCACATTGGTTCTAGTTGGTCACGTAGGTTGTATTAGCAAGCTATGATGATGTCTGTAGGTCACATAGGCTCGAATCGGAAGCTGCGCGAGCTACAAACCACGTAAGCTGTAATTGGTCACATAACTCGTAGTGGTGAGCTATGAGTATAGAGCTTTGGAAGTCCGAAGAAATTCACTATTTTTGGGGTGCATTGTTGCACCATTTTTCAGAAGGTGTCATTGCACTGTATGTGAGTCGCATTGTTACACCATCATCGGGGTGTTTCGTTGCACTGTATTTAGAGTGTGTTGTTACACCATTTTTGGGATGTGATGAGACACATTAAAGTATTCTTTTTATATATACATGTTATTCTTATTTTTAAGGATATTGCGCTTTAATGAAAGATATTTTGTGTATTTTTGATTTCAGGTACAAGAGATGGAGTTTAAGAGCAAAATGAGCAAAGATGGAACAAAATAAGGTCAAATGGGGCGTAGGAGCAAAAAGTGACCTGACGCCTAGGCACCGGATAGTTAAAATAGGCTTTTAGAAAGTTGGAGCCTAGGCGCTCTAAATGGTTTAGACTTTCTGTGCAATGAATTGGACAAATTTTGAAGGGGTGTTTGAAGTGACTCTTGATGTATTTAAGAGCTGTATTTAAAGAAAGAATTGGTTCGTCAAAATGGTGGCTTTAGAGGGCTTGGTTGGAGGTGAAGATTTTTATGAGAGGGCGTGAGGCTCTCTTGTGCGCATGTGTGTGTGAGTTGTGAGTGAGAGTCTTTTTGTGAGTGTCTGGAGAGTAAGAAGTCATCAAAGGAACTTCAAAGGGTTTTCTTGAGGAGAAGTTTCAGATAAGTACTTCGTATTTTTGTTTGAGTTTTGTTTTACTAAGTAAACTTGGATTTTATTATAAATCATGTTTTGTTGTGTTATCCCCACGAAGTCTGAGTAGTTTCCCTTATATTTCTCCTTGCAATAAGAAGTAATCGTGTGTATGATTATAATTATTTAAGATTTCTCTTATTCCTTACTTGTGATGATTCATTACTTTGTACTTCATTTATACCTTCATTTTGGCTAATTAGAAAGTTAAAACTAGTTGTGAATCCATAATGACCTGGGAGGGCTATGTGTTCCTCAATTAGTAAGAATCACATTAATCTTAAGAGTGAGAAGGTAATCCACGGGTTAGTTCAAATATGTAGAAGATAAGTTTTGATGGGCGTAAATTGGTGATTCTAGGGTGATATGCTAGAACCATAACTAATTTGATCTAGAGCTTGGAACCTAAGGACTAGTTAGTCCTATACAGATGACACAATGCGTAATCTAGAGGTGAGAGGCTAGAACCTGTCCAACATAAAATAAGATTTAGAAGCTTTACTTTAAATTAGTCAATATTCTTTATGCACTCGGAAGAGGGTAAGGATTATGTATGCTCCTATATGACATAAAAATACATTTTAACCTTTAAACATTTGATTCTTACACTGATTATGATCTTTTTGCAAGGGAAAAGAACTTTCAAATAACTGGAACTCTTCTTCATAAAACTAGTTTAGAAACTCTGCATTTTCTTTTAATTTTGAAATAAAATTAGTAGAAACTTAGTAACTTTATTTTACACCTAAAATTGTTACCATATTTCCCAGATAATTATTTGAAGTTTACGTAAGGTTTTCTTTAGTCATAAAAAGAGTTTCACTTTCCCTTTGCAATTGATACTAGTGTGTTTAAAAAAAAAATTCTATATTATTTGAAATGATACATGTACTTGCATAGTACCCATAGTGTGTAAACAATTAATCAAATTCTAATTTCTATAACATATCTATTGTGCACACTAGCTGCTAAAATAAATTGGGTCAAGTTTTTGGTCATCTTTACATTGACTGTTCCATTGATTTGAAGAACAGGGATGAAGAGAAGAAGGAGAATGAAAGCAGTAGGTCTTCTGATGATGAGGTGACGCTTTCTGCATTGCTGAACTTCATTGATGGGTTGTGGTCGACGAGTGGCGAGGAGAGGATCATTGTTTTTACTACTAATTATAAAGAAAGGCTTGATCCTGCATTGCTGAGACCTGGAAGGATGGATATGCATGTACATATGGGTTACTGTGGGCCGAATAGTTTTAGGGTTTTGGCTTCGAATTACCATGCCGTTGAGGAGCATCCCATGTTTGAGGAGATTGAAGGGTTGTTGAAGGAGGTGGAGGCGACGCCCGCTGAAGTGGCTGAGCAGTTGATGAGAAGCGATGATGTTGATATTGCTTTGGAAGGGCTGGCACAGCTGCTGCGAACGAAGAAGAATGGTAGGAGAGACGTGCCGAGTGGAGAAGAAGATAAAGATGAAAAGGTCGTAGCTGCGGAGAAAGGAGGAGTTGAGAGTAGAATGGAAGATCAAGGAACTGAAAAAGTTGATGTTGGAGATTCAAATTGTTGAGCGGATGAGTACTCTGTAATCTATTTTTCCTTCTATTGATTTTCTGCTAAAGCGATTGTAAGATCCGATTGTTGAGACTAATAAAATGGTTATTATTTCTACAAGAAAATTGTTTAAAAAATTGGATTTTGATTGCCTGCGTTGCAAGAATAATGCTAATACTGAAAAAGCTGTTTGAAACAGTTGAATGGTAAGTAGAAAATCAACAAGCGCCTCTGAAATGTACTTCGATAGTAATTTGTGTTTTTTTTTTTTCGTGTATTTTTCCTACCATTGATTTTCTGCAAGCCATGCTTTAAAATGCTAGCTATTAATCTGATGAACTGCGGTTTAACAGTTATGAAAAAAAAGGAAAAACAATTCTTATGCATTTACAAATATAACATTTTGTTGCTTTCAACTTGTGCATGAAAAGTGTGTTTCACTTTAAGAAAGGGGCAATGGTGCTGTTCTTCATGTGATATTAAAAAATTGATGAATGTTTAGGTACTAGAGAGAAGCCATATAATTTAGGTGATTAAATAATAGTACAAGAGCATAGTATGAGCTTTTATTTGTTATGTATATGAATGGATCTCTCAAATAAATTGAACACTAATTTAATAATTTTTGTAAAAAATCTTTTATGTATTGAATCCTACTGAAAAGCATGTTCAAACAACAGATAAACTTGCAGAGAAAAAGTTAAGGATTCCACTGTCGACACGATGTGAAATTGTGGCCTAAAGTAATCGAACAAAGAACAAGTGAAGGTCACATAATCTCAGTTGATTTGTAAATGACTCCTCTCGCCCTACCTAGAAAACTGTGACTCTAGAACGTGTCCAATTTTGTGTGGCCCAACCCAACGGTCATGGATGCCGCGTGTCAAAGATAAAATAAGCAAGCCAGATAAAAATTTAAAACCAAAAACTTTATATTAGGGGCTTTAACATAAATGCCACATAATTTTTATGTATTTACATATTGACACTTAAATTTTCATATTTACATGTATAGCACTCAAATCTTTAACACCACATTAAAAATATCACTATACTAACTTTTAAAAAAATTATAAACACATTTTTATGATTATGTATATGATATCAAAATATTATATATATTAAACTTTTGGTGTTAGATATGTAAATACATAAGAATTGGGAGGTATGTATGTAAATTTTCTTTATAATAAGCATCTATACTTGGCCATTTTGGTAAAAAATAACAATTTTAAAATTTATAAAAACTGAATAAAGTATCATATTTTACTGATATAGTTACATTAATATTGCTTAAAAGTCTGACAGGAATATTAGGTTAGCTTAAAATCTATAGAATAGCTAAAATTAATCATGAACTCTAAGATAAATCATACCAAAATTCTCAACTTAGGTAACGATACTAGTACTGCTGCTAGTGCTTCATAAATCCCTGACATATTAGTTATGTTTGTTAGAATTAAACTATTATTCCAATATTAAGATCGTAGAAAGGTTGCCTTCAAAATAAAGAACTAAGTTTGAAAATAAGCCAAGTAGAATTTAATCTTCTATCCGGGTATTTGCCAAAAACCAAAACAATAAGTAGATACCAAATCAACTTATGTAATCCTGGAATAAATTAAACCTTAAGCTTAATATGTAAGATTATAAATTATATGCCAAATTTAAATAACCTACTAATCATGTCATTAATAAATAAAATCGTATCTCTTTTCTAATATGACATAATTAACCTAATGATTCATCAATTCACAATAAACTATTCAATCAAACTGAATCAATTTAATGAAAACCAAACAGAACCAAAAAATCAAGTTGTAATCTATAAATTAATTCCAAAATTCCAAAGTGATATGAAACAAAATTGTAATCTAAAAATTTAAATGTTTGAACTGAATACCAAACCAAACTTATTGATTCAGTTTGATCTGATTTATGGGAACAATATTTTGGTTTTGATTTCAGCTTTGTTTGGATGATTTGAATTGACTTTATTTTAAATATAGACTGATTTTGAGTCAAATCAAACCGTGCAGACCCCCTAAATTTTTGCTCAATTGCTCATTTGCAAGTGAAAACTTCATAAACGATATTCAAGTTGAATTAATAAAACTGGGATTCAATCAAACGAATATCAAATTGTTCCTAGCACTTACTGATAAACGTACAACAGCAAAAATAAAGTCCCGTGTTTTACTATTTACCTATCCCAGTCCCATCCACAAAAGTGTAAATAATTGAAGGTTTCATCAAAACAGAAGAAAGAAAATGATAAAATCATTGAATTATTCTAGCAAACAGAAAGATGAACCTGGAAAACTATTGTCGCACAATTGAGATGTGACAACTCCGCCGGATAGGAAAAAAAAATCAGCCATTGTGTCAATATTCAACCGAACACTTCAAATACAACAATGGCTTTTTAAGAACCAAGTAATTCTTGAACTCATTCTCTAATCTAGAGACCACTAAACAGCCAACTGGTGCCCAAGAAAAAATGAAAAAAACAAATATTCAATGTAAAACATTAAGAATCAAGTTAAATCGGCTAAAAAAATATAAAATAGAAAAAAAAATTTTAAGAGAGTCTATGCGGAGCAACACCTTGATTTTATAAGGTTAAATGCAAAGAATGCACAGAGAAAAGGCAAAAGATTTTTTGATGTTACTAACACGTTAAGAATGATAGGTTCATCAAAAACCAATGAGAATAACACTTTAAAAAGCTGCAGTATCTTCATTATTTCTTTACAATTTGTTGGGATCAGTTTTATTTTATTTTATTTTTTAAAAATTTATTTGTTAGTGTGTTTTATATATATTTTTATGCTTTATTTTTAAAAATAAATTAAACATTTTTTAAAAAATTGAAATAACTTTTTGATATTTTGAATAGTTTTAGAAATAATCAAATTTTAATGAAATATTTTAATTAAATAACCAAGTTTATTTTATTTCAATCAAAAGATAACAAAAATAGAAAAAAAAATTGACATACATGAAATAAAATAAAAAAACAGAAGTGATTCCAATCGCCCCTAGTCTCCTTTAAATTCCTGGCATTTAAAAGTTGAACATAACGCCATAACCAGTACCACTGAAAAAATAGTACAAACAAAATCAAAAGTACAATATTACCAACTTTTAAAATAAAAGCACCAGTGACATACTGAAGACCTATCTCTTAAGTCGACACTGATGTATAAGGGGCGAACCATCAACTTTTGAAAGTTGGAAGAATCCATGAAAATAAATCAAAATATTCGAGCTAAATAATTTAGAATATCAGCAATCATTTCAACAAATCACAACACAAACTCAAATTAGGGTTCGATTGAGGGGTGGTGGTACTTGTTGGCGAGAGTTTGGAAGGTGGCGAGATGGTGGGTAAACAGATAATAACAAGGTCAGGTGTCAAAGTTTTGAGAAAAATAGGTTTAATTTTGAATAGGCTTGATGTCTTTTCCCCTTGCTTTCATTCCATTAAATAATAATCTTACAATCTATTTTAGGTACAAAATAAAGCTCATAATCTATTTTGAATAACTTAATAATATATATTCATAATTTAAATATTCAGCTAACATGGAAATAAATCATAATAAAGACATTGAAAATAATTTAAATAAGGAACTTTCTAAAACTCCTAATTTAACTGTCTGATTTCCATCCTTTTTGATTGACATCTCACTCAAATTGATGCTAACTGATCAAGAACCATCAATTTGTCAACAAAAAACTGATAACATTGTCATGACCAAAAATCCTTACGCAGTGAGTGTTGAAGCCGAAAGTGCCGATGTCGAAGAGTGTCGAAGGCCGAGAGCGTCGAAGCCCGTGAATGTCGAAGCCTAAGAATACTGAAGTCTGAGAGTGTCGAAGCCCAAGAGTGCTGAAACCTAAGATCTATGATTTGCAGAAGCAGAAGCTTAAGCAGATGAAGTGAAGCGTAAAAAGCTGTCGAAGATGCCACAGAAGCAACAATGCCTAGCGAAGAAGATCTGAATCAGACGAATAATAATATAAACATAACAACACTGTTCAACCCAAGAATCTTTAAACTCCACAATGAATGAATTTTGCACTTTAGAATAAGTTTCATCTCTTGACGAGCAGACCTATGATATCTATTTGCCTGTCGAGCAAGTCTGGTTTTCTTCAAGGCAATTCTTCTTTTCCACCTTGTTCTTCACGAGAAGAGCAACAAGCATTTCATAAAGAGCCCTAATTCCTAAGAAACGCATGATTCCAGAAACAACTGAAGCTAACCACCAAAGCCATAAAGGATGCGACCCTGACATTTGATGGCATAAACAACATCCATGGCTGTGGGTCTTCCGGCGAGCGTGCTCGGTGTAGGTCACAACGTCGTGTATGACGTTCTCAAGAAAGATCTTGAGCATGCCTCGCGTCTCCTCGTAGATCATACCACTTATGCGCTTCACGCCACCACGATGAGCTAATCGACGAATCGTTGGCTTGGTGATGCCCTGAATATTGTTGCGGAGAACCTTGCGGCGGCGTTTGGCTCCACCCTTTCCCAAGCCCTTACCTCCCTCACCTAAGCCCAACATTGTTTCCTAGCTTCGACGAACTGAAGTTGTTTTTCTTTCACAAAGAGGTAGGAGGCAAATGGACTAATCGAAGATGAAGCATATGAAGTAGAGGGGGCAGAGCACAGTAGAAGGACCTGATGATGGAATTAATCGACCGAACAATCGAGGCAAACGATCAAGCGAAGCAGTGGAAGCAGGCGCAACAATCTAGGAGACCGAGCAGTCGAGGTCGAGCGACGCAGATGAAGAAGACGAGGGTTTTAAACAAAGCAGACGAGCGAGAATTAAGGCAAAGAAATAGTTCTTCCATTCCCGTCCTGCAAAAAGGCCGGCGGGAAGGGAGTCTTGGCGGTACTCCAACAATTATCGGTGGTTATGACAAAATTTTGGTTCTGATACCATGTCAAAGTTTTAGAAAAATAAGCTGAATTCTGAATAAGCTCGATGCATTTTCCCTTTGCTTTCATTCCATTAAATAATAATCTTACAATCTATTTTAGGTACAAAATAATGTGAATAATCCATTTTAGATAACTTAATAATATATATTCATAATCT